CATTTTAAATACTTCATTCTACTCTCTTCTTGCTGGCATGGTTTCCTAGAAGTTAGATATACAAGGCTACTTCAAAAAGTTTGTGGAAAAATAGAATTGAAAGGTAATATGAATCTTTCAACAAACTTTTTCAACTATCCTGTAATTCTTATCCTGTTACTCCATAGATAAGATTTTTTTTCCCCCCTCTGGCTTCCTTCAGGGTTTTTACTGAGAAAAATCTTTAATTTCTTGTGGTTTGAAAATGATGTGCCTAGGTGTAGTTTTTTTGGTATTTATCCTGCTTGGTGTTCTCTTAGCTTCCTGTATCTGTGGTTTGGCATCTGACATGAATTTAGGGAGATTCTCAGTTATTATTGGTTCGTGTATTTCTTTTGTTCCTTTCTCTCTTTATTCTCCTTCTGATATTTACACCTTTTGTAGTTGTCCCACAGTTGTTGGACATTCTCTTTTGGGTTTTTTTTGTTTGTTTGTTTGTTTGTTTTTTATTTCTTCTCTATACATTTCAGTGTTTAAAGTGTAGTTGTCCCACAGTTGTTGGACATTCTCTTTTGGGTTTTTTTTGTTTGTTTGTTTGTTTTTTATTTCTTCTCTATACATTTCAGTGTTTAAAATTTCTATTGAAATATCCTCATGCTCAGAGATGTTTTCCTTAGCCATGTCCAGCCTACTAAGTTCATCAAAGGCATTCTTCATTTCTTTCACAGTGTTCTTGGTCTCTAGCATTTCTTTTTGGTTCTTTCTTAGGATTTCCATCTCTCTGTTTACATTACCGAACTGTTCTTGCATGTTGTCTGCTTTATCTATTAGCTCCCTTAGCATATTAATCATGGTCGTTTTAAATTTCTGATCTGCTAATTCCAGCATCCCTGCCATGTCTGGTTTTGATGTTTGTTCTGTCTCTTCAAATTGTGATTTTTGCCTTTTCGTATGCCTTGTAATTTTTTCTTGACAGCCAGACGTGATATACCAGATAAATGGAACTGCTGTAAATAGGCCTTTTGTGATATAATAGTAAGGTGTCAGGGGAGAGGAAGTATTTTATAGTCCTCAAAACTCAGTGTTTTAGCAAGCCTATGCCTCTGGACCGTGAACTTCAATTCACAAGTGTTTGTCAAGTTTTTTTCTCCCAGCTTAGGTGAGATGGTATGCTAGAACTGACTAGAGTTGGGTATTTCCCTTTCTCCATGTCAGGTTAGCCTCTGGTTAACAAGTCTCTTCTGAGGGCAGGCCTTATTAACAACAGAGTGCCTGGCATTTTTTCAGAATTGTTCCTTTTCCCATCTTCCTACTGGAAGCCTGAGGTAATTTTTCTTTGACATTTACTCTGGGAATTTGGTCGAACTCCTGGAGGAAAATCTTATAATATTGTTGGAGTACCCCATGACTGTGTCCCTCTGAGCTTTTAACTCTCAGACTTGTCTGTACTGAGCCTCCAGCCATGCATCAATTACAGTTCAGGTTTTCCTGACCCGGCATTAGTTCCTGTGGCAGTTTCCACTTCTGGTAAGCTGTAACTCCCTCTTTTTACCTGTCTATCTTTCCAATCTCGGGGGCAGCAAGTTGCCCTGTGTCCTCTCCTCTCTTAGAAGAAGAGCTGTAGATTTTTAAGTTTTTCAGCTTTTTACTTGTTAGGATGGAGAGATGACTTCCAAGCTCCTTACATGTGGAACTGGAAACCAGAAATCGAAAAACTACTTTTTAAAAAAAGATTAAATAGGTTTTTAACTTCTTTAAATCAGCAGAATCCTCAATTTTTTACCCAAATGAAGTTTTCTGTAGGTACTCCAATACATGAAAAAATGTTAAATCTGAGCTGCTGGGGTCAAAGGAAAGGGGAAAGGTTACAGTGATCCAGGAGCCATTGGCTTGACCTACCCTTGATCACCCCCAAATATCCAGAGAACCTTGTTTGCATAGTGCTCTGAATTATTTATTTAGAGATAAAATTTAGTTTATTTTTCACTGGT